TCCATAAAGTAGCTTGGAGCCGGGAGTAGGGGCCTCACGCCAGCAAGATAAATAAAAGATTGCCCAGGGAGGGGTCAGAAGATTTCCCTAAGGAAGAAAGGAACAGTTTACCACCAGTTGCCTGCCTTTGATAGCAGATTGAGGAAGCTACCGGTATTCCGAGGTTATAAAGCATTTAATTCATTTGTTTGAATATTTAAGCCCAAATAAAGAACTTTGTTAGATTTATTTTGAGCCTCAATAGAACTTTGTGTTGGGAAATCTAAGGGGCCCTTCAGCTGAGGCACCCCGGCATCCCGCTGGGCATACAGAAGTCACGTCCTGTAAACAAACATTATTTCAGGCCCAGCGTGCAACAGCACATTCTCTCTTTCCTTCTTTCCTTCCCTCCTGCTCTTTTGCTTCCACGCTTCCTTCTCTCTTTCCCTCCCTCCTTTTCTTTCTTTCTTTCTTTCTTTCTTTCTTTCTTTCTTTCTCTCTCTCTCTCTCTTTCTTTCTTTCTTTCTTTCTTTCTCCCTTTCCTTCCCCCCCTCTTCCTTTCCTTTTTTTCTGTATCGTCATTTAGCTTTTTGTCATTTAGCTTTTTTGGGTTTTTAAGTCCTTTCCACTGGGGAAAATTAATTAAAACATAAATTATTAAAACAGCAATTAAGAATAACAGAAAGATTTAGGATCAGTCAGTAGCAGGGGGGGGGGGGGAGACGAACAGGGATAGATAATCTGAAATGAGAAAAAAAAAGAGATCAAAAAAGCACAAGAAAACCTAGAGAGAAAAATGATGAATCTGGACCTAAAAAATGAAAAATTGGAAGACAGGAAAAAATAGAAGCAAGAGAGATGGAACACCAATTCAGACTGAGAAACATCCAGGAGGAACATGAAGAAAATTGAAGGGAGAAAGTAACAGAAATTCTATCTGAATTTTTAAAACCTTTGCATTAGCATAATTTCCGTCTTCATCCCACTTAATTCTTCTTTTATTTCTTTCCTGAAGTCACACGTTTGATCCTGTGCGATTTTAATTTTGTTTATGTTCATCGTGGCATCAAATTGTGCCAGTGAGTCCCCTCCGAGCTCAGAAAGGCAGCATAGAAATGCAGTAAATGAAATACAATAAATAATAATAAAATAAATTTGATTTCGTTGGGGAGGGGAGGGAAATGCCATAGCCGAGGAGCCACCACTGAGAAGGCCCTGTCTCTCGTCCTCACCAGTCACACCTCGGAAGGAGGTTAATTGTTTCTTAATTTTGTTTATGTTCATTGTGGCATCGAATCGTGCCAGAGTAAGCCGCCTTGCGTCGCCTTCAAGCTCAGAAAGGCGGCATAGAAATGCAGTAAATAAAATAAAATAAAATTGATTTCATTGGGGAGGGAATTCCATAGCCGAGGAGCCACCACCGAGAAGGCCCTGTCTCTCGTCCCCACCAAGAGCAGGACCTCCCTGGAGGATCTTAATTGAAAGTCTTCGTAAACCTAACGACTTTCAATCCGATTGTATAAATCCCCAGCTACCTATAATCCCTATAAATCCCTCATCCCCAACACAAACCTAACCCTATACACCAAAAGACCTTTAACCTATATATCCCTATTCCTAGTCCCTAAACCTAAAGACTTTTAACTCGTTTGATGCCCCTTTAACTGATGGGATCATGGGAGTTGTAGTTTTACAAGCTCTTTAGCCTCCTTTTGCCAAAGAGCGCTGCTGCCTCCCCAAACTACAACTCCCATGATGCAACAGCACTGCTAAAGTAGTGCCCAACTGCATAGAGATGCACCCCTACACCCTAATCCTAACTGTGACCTCTGCCCTCTCTCCAGCTGGGGTGACGTCAGCAAGGCAGCTGCCCTAGAAGCCTCCCCCCGCTCAGAGCCCGAGTGGGCGTGGCTTCCCGGTTTCCCGCCCACCTCACCGCGGAGAGGGGAGGGGGCTTTCCCTCGCGTACCTTCCATCCCGCCGAGGCTTTTCTGTTCCTATCTCTGTTACGACTCTTCCCGGAGGCCGAACGGAGCCGGAATTGCCCGAACGGAACCGGAAATAGCCGAGCGGTAAACGGGAATGGCCGAAAGCTCCTGTAGACGGACGGAAATGACCGAAGGAAGCCGAAGGACATGAGGTTGCCGAGAATGGCCGAAAAGGAAAGGTGATCGCACCCGTATAGGGGCGGAAATGGCCGAAGAGTGTGCGGTTCCTTTTCCGCCACCGACCCGAAGATTCCCGAGAGATTCCGAAGGCAGCTCAAGGGTGGGGATCATAGAATCATAGATTTGGAAGAGACCTCATGGGCCATCCAGTCCAATCCTCTGCCAAGAAGTAGGAAAATTGCATTCAAAGCACCCCCGACAGATGGCCATCCAGCCACTCTTTAAACCTTCCAAAGAAGGAGTCTCCACCACACTCCGGAGCAGAGAGTTCCACTGCTGAACAGATGAAGATTTATGATTTCTCAACATGTCTTTGATATTGGGTTCCAGGAAAGTCAAAAATGGAGGCAGACCGGAGGATAGAGATGTCTCAAGTGAAATCGCACTCTGTCCATGCGCAGAGACTCTCTCGCCTTTATTTTTTAGTATTTAAAATGTTCCTGGGGGTTGCATCTACACTGTAGACTTAATGCAGTTTGATACCAGCTCAGTGCTATCAAATTATGGGGATTGTAGTTTGTGAGGCACCAGTACCTTTTGGCAGAGAAGGTGAAAGACTTTGCAAAACTACATCTCCCAAGGATTCCAAAGCCTTGAGACACAGCAGTTGAACTGGTATCAAACTGCGTTAATTCTACAGTGTAGATGAGGCATGGGCGCAGTTCCTCATGTTGTGGTGACCCCCAACCATAAAATTATTTTCATTGCTATGTTCAAACTGTAATTTTGCTACTGTTATGAATTGTAATATGTGCAGGATGTATTTTCATTCGCTGGACCAAATTTGGCATAAATACCCGATACACCCAAATTTGAATACTGGCAGGTTACTGGCATGTCTGATGTCCTTGGGGTGTGAGTTCCAGAGTTGAGGGGCCACCACCGAGAAGGCCCTGTCCCTCGTCCCCACCAATCTCGCTTGCGATGGAGGTAGGAGCGCGAGCAGGGCCTCTCCAGATGATCAAAGAGATCGTGTGGGTTTGTACACAGTGATGTGGTCACACAGGTAGGCGGGTCCCAAACCGTTTAGGGCAGTGTTTCTCAACCTTCCTAGTGCTGCGACCCCTTAACCCAGTTCCTCATGTTGTGGTGACCCCCAACATTATTTTCATTGCTACTTTATAACTGTAATTTGGCAACTGTTATGTATTATACTTGTAAATATTCAACATGCAGAATGTATTTTCATTCACTGGACCAAACTGGGCATAAATACCCAATGCATGGGGTTGGGGGGGTTGATTTTGTCACTTGAGAGTTGTAATTGCTGGGATTTATAGTTCACCTACAATCAATGAGCATTCTGAACTCTACCAATGATGGAATTGAACCAACCTTGGCACACATGACCTACAGAAAATACTGGAAGGGTTTGGTGGGTATTGACCTTGAGTTGGGAGTTATAGTTCACCAACCTCCAGAGAGCACTGTGGGCTCAAGCCTTGATGGATCTGGACCAGATATTGGCACAAATACTCAATATGCTCAAATGTGAACAGTGGTGGAATTTGGGGGAAATAGAGCTTGCCATTTGGGAGTTGTAGTTGCTGGGATTTATAATTCACCTACAATCACAGAGCATTCTGAACCTCACCAATGAGAAAATTGGGCCAAGCTTCCCACGCAGAATCCGCACAACCAACAGAAAAATACTGTGTTTTCTGATGGTCTTTGGTGACCCCTCTGACACCCCCTCGCGACCCCCCAGGGGTCCCGACCCCCAGGTTGAGAAACGCTGGTTTAGGGCTTTGTAGGTAAGCACCTGCACCTTGAATTGGGACCGGAAAATGAACGGCAGCCAATGGAACTCTTTAAACAGGAGGGTTGACCCCTCCCTGTAAGAAGCACCAGTTAACAACCTGGCCGCCGCTCGTTGGGCCAATTGAAATTTCCAGGCCGTTTTCAAGGGTAGCCCCACGTGGAGTGCATTACAGTAGTCCAATCTGGAGGTGACTAAGGCATGGACCACCCTGGCCAGATCCGCCTTCACGAGGTACGGTCGCAGAGTTTTCAAGTAAATAAAGATCAAAACAGACCACCGGGCACAGATGTGGAATTGATTGCTGCTAGTTGAGACAATTGAAATTGATTGCTGATAGTTAGGCCCTCTCTGGTGGCACAGCGGGTTAAACCGCTGAGCTGCTGAACTTGCTGACCGAAAGTTTGGCGGTGCGAATTTGAGGAGCAGGGTGAGCTCCCGCTGTTAGCCCCAACTTCTGCGAACTTAGCAGTTCAAAAACATTTGAATGTGAGTAGATCCCGCTTCGGTGGGAAGGTAACGGCACTTCATGCTGTCATGCTAACCACATGACCTTGGAGATAGCTATGGTCAATGCCAGCTCTTTGGCTTAGAAATGAAATGAGTACCAACCCTGAGTCGGACGCAACTAGACTTAATGTCAGGGGGAAACTTTTACCTTTACTAGTTAAGACAAAGCAGAAGCAAAACCAGAGAGCAGATGAGCAGTATTAAAAAACTCTAAATTTAAAACAGCAAAACAGCAGAGGGAAAACAATCAGGGACATCTAATCACCTCTCAACAAAAGATTGCTCCAGGCACTGCCAGGCTATCAAATGCTAATCAAGGTGGTCAGTTGAAACATTCACACCTAGCTCCAGCAGACAAGAGTCCTTTGTCCCACAGATATATAAACCCTTTCCACAGATATATAAACCCTTTTTCTTTCCACAGATATATAAACCCTTTTTCTTTCCACAGATATATAAACCCTTTTTCCTAGTTCCAACAGACCCCACTACCTCTGAGGATGCTTGCCATAGATGCAGGCGAAACGTCAGGAGAGAATGCCTCTAAAACATAGCCATATAGCCCAAAAAAACCTACAACAACCCAGAGACCAGATGGCTTTATTGGTTTCAGAATCACTTCAGTATCTTACAAGAAGCCACATTACACCTGAATGTATAAACCACCCAACAATCAAATAGTGTTGGCATACAAAAAGGGAGACTGGGTGCGTCTGTATTGTTGAATTAATGCAGTTGGAAAGCACTTTAACTGCCCTGGCTCAATGCTATATAATCCTGGGGCTTGCAGTTTTCCAAGTTTTCTCCATCAAAGAATGCTGGTGCCTTACCAAAAATACAACTCCCAAGATTGCATAGCATTGAGGCGTAGCAGTTAAAGTGATGTCAAACTGCATTAATTATACAATGTGGATGCACCCTGTATCTTGCAATTTCTCGTCTCCTTTATATGAGCTTCTCATATGTCCCCCTTCATCGCTTGTCTTCGGTTGTAGGGCACATACTAGGGCCTTTGCGCACATTTCCCTTGTTTAGCCTCCAGGAAATCCAGCTTGGTTTTGACCTGATCCAGGCTCCTCAGCACTTGCTCCAGTTTGTGCAGCACCTGGGGATCAAGTGCGGGGCAGGTGCCCGGTGAGAGTGGTGGTGCTCCTGTTGCATGCGGGACCCCGAGGCCTGGAAGACACAGACACAGAACAGACGTTCTTATTTTGTTGCCACCAACCCCATCTCCACTATCCATTTAATGCAGTTCAAAGTTAGCTTTAAAATATGCTGACTGGACAATAGACTCACAAAAATGTGCAAAAGAAAGCTCTTAATATGCGTCAGTTTTCTGTGGTTTGTGTAATCGCCATCTGGGTCTCAAACTGGTTCTAGGTTTTCCTGTGAAATCGTCTCCACAGCAAAAACCTTCATAGCAAAACCTGGTTTGAAACGGCATTAAATGGACAGTATAAACGGGGTCCTAAACTACAGCAGCAGAAAACAAACTTGCTCGTTCCTCAATATGATATCCTTTCAGATATTTAAATTCGGCTATCCTGTTCCCTAACTTCTAACGGATTCTCGGAAATTTACTTTACCGGGCTTTAGCACAGTGGGTTAAACCTCCAGCTGCAGAAAATCTTTCCAATCAAGAGGTTGACAATTCAAGCCCCGGTTGGGGTGAGCTCCCAACCTCTACTCATCTAGCAGTTCGAAAACAGCAATGTGAGTAGATAAATAGATACTGCTTTGGCAGGGAGGAAATAAAGGGTGCCCATTCGGACATGTCGGCGATTTGATTGGGCAAGTGTCCAAAGACAACAAAGCTCTTCAGCATGGAAGATGGAGTGACAGCACACACACACACACACTCCGTGGCCAGCTACTGCAACCCTATTTGGGGGGAGATATGTTGATCATTTCCGCTACCTTGGCAGCCACCTCTCCACCAAAGTCAACATCGACACCGAAATACAACACCGCCTGAGCTCTGCGAGTGCAGCATTTTTCTGAATGAAGCAGAGAGTGTTTGAGGACCGGGACATCCGTAGGGATACCAAGGTGCTTGTCTATAAAGCTATTGTCCTCCCAACCCTGCTATATGCCTGCGAAACGTGGACTGTCTACAGATGTCACATGCAACTCCTGGAATGATTCCATCAGCACTGCCTCCAGAAAATCCTGCAAATCCCTTGGGAAGACAGGCGGACAAACATCAGCGTGCTGGAAGAAGCAAAGACCACCAGCATTGAAGCAATGGCCCTTCGCCATCAACTCCGCTAGACTGGCCATGTTGTCCGGATGCCCGACCACCGTCTCCCAAAGCAGTTGCTCTACTCTGAACTCAAGAATGGAAAACGGAATGTTGGAGGACAGGAAAAGAGATTTAAAGATGGGCTCAAAGCCACCTTAAAAACTCTGGCATAGACACAGAACTGAGAAGCCCTGGCCCTTGAGCGCTCCAGCTGGAGGTCAGCTGTGACCAGCAGTGCTGTAGAATTTGAAGAGGCACGAATGGAGGGTGAAAGAGAGAAACGTGCCAAGAGGAAGGCGCGTCAAGCCAACCCTGACCAAGACCACCTTCCACCTGGAAACCAGTGCCCTCACTGCAGAAGAAGATGCATGTCAAGAATAGGGCTCCACAGTCACCTACGAACCCACCACCAGGACACCGAACTTGGAGGACCATCATCCTCAGACTTAATAATACATGTATTATCTCCCCCAACTTACTTACTTAGCGATCGCCTAAGTAAGTAAGTAATTTGGGGGAGATAATACATGTATTTCAGAAGGACTCCTGACCGATATTGGCGACAGGGGAGGACAGAAATGTCTTGCACTGACATTTTCATCAGCTATTAGTATTATCACAATTCAAGTTGCTAACAGTGACTTAAAAAGTTTATGGCTTCCATGCAAACTATCAGGCTGGATCTACACTGTCCTATATTCCAGAATCTGCTCCCAGATTATCTGCTTTGAACTGGATTGTATGAGTCTCCACTGCCATATAATTTGAAATAATCAGATAATCTGGGATCAGATCCTGGGATGTATGTCAGCGTAGAAGCTCAGGCTCCTTCTACACTGCCATATAAAATCCTGATTATCTGCTTTGAACTGGATTATATGGCAGTGTAGACTCATATAGTCCAGTTCAAAACAGATAATGTGGATTATCTTTTTTGATAATGGCATTGTAGATGGGGCCTCAGACTTACCATTCTCAGAGACATGTTTGATGAGAGCCTTATAAAGGACTTTGCTATTGGATTGTAATCAGGCAAGAGACCAAGGGTGCATTTAAACAGTAGAATTAGTGCAGTTTGACACCACTTTCACTGCTATGGCTCAATGCTATGGAATTGTGGGAATTGTAGTTTTACAACGTCTTTAGCCTTCCCTTACAAATAGCGCTGGTTTGGTGTCTCACCAAACTACAACTCCAAAGTTCCATAGCATTGAGCCATGGGAGTTAAGGTGGTGTCACACCACATTAATTCTACTGTATAGATGCCCCCCTCAATGCCAACCTCCTTTATTCTTTTGTCAACAGGAAAACCTTTGTTTATTCAAACATGGTTTGGGCAACTAATTGGCTGGTCCTTTCCCAAGTTCTAAAATTTTCTAGTGCTTTGCTGCCTTTCCCCAGCTCCCAAATTCTAGTACCATGGTTGGCACAGATCTTCTCTTTCAGCTGGGTCTGGATGTCCCGGAGTCCAGTGAAGTGTCTCACGACAAAGACGTGGTCTGCGGTAGGGTGAGAGCCAATGCTGTGGAGCTCCCTCTGGGCAACTTTGCTTGTGAAGACTATGCCAATCTGCCAGAAGAAAAGAAACATGTTTGGAGGTGAATACAGTAAGCTTGAAAGGAAAAGATGGATAGCAAACAATCAGCTCAGTGCTTAGTTTTATGTTCTGATGTGACATTTATTCCAACTACACAGGACAAAAAAGTGTAATTAAATAAATAAACAAACATATGTAAGTATGTTACTACTTACCCCAATGGCAAAGCGTGTAATTTTGGCTCGATTGGCTTCCTCTATCACCTCTTCATACTCCAACATGTCCCCAAATTTCTCCCCATCAGTAAGCACCACAAGGAACCTCTTGGCTGTCGGTCGGGCACCTTTCTGTGTAGTGAATAGCTCCCTTTTGAGCAGTAGAGAGGAAGGAAAAGGAGGATTAGCACCAAGGAAACAGCAACAGTGGTAGAGTGGCTATAACATAGATCAGTGACTCCCAAACTCTAATTCTCCAGGTATTTTGAACTTCATCTTCCAGAAACCTTACCCAACAATCAGGGATTCTGGGAGCTGAAGCCCAAAACATCTGTAAGGACAATGTTTGGGAAACACAGAAGGCTTGCCCACATCTCCTGCATCCTGAGATTGTGCATGTTACTATTATAATGCTCCTAGGTATGTTATAATATACAATACTACTGTTAAATGGATTTGTAATTGACTGAATGACAAAAACCAAAGGGTGCTCATGTATGGGTCCTCGTCATCCTGGAAAGAAGTGATTAGTGGGGTTCAGTGCTGTTCAACATCTTTATTAATGATTTGGGTGGAAGTATAGAGGGCATGCTTGTCAAGTTGATGGATGGCACCAAATTGGGAGGGATAGCTAATACTCCAGAAGAACTGAAATGACCTTAACAGGTTAGAGAGCTGGGCCAAAACTAGCAAAATTAATTTCAACAAGGAGGAAATGCAAGGTACTGCACTTGGGCGGAAAAAATGAAATGCAGAAATGCAGGATGGGTGACACCTGTCTCAAGAAAAGTACATGTAATAAAGATATTGTAAGTCTTAGTAGACCACAAGTTGAACATGAACTAACTGTTGGGTTCCATCAGCAAAGATGATGGAGATTCCTCAGAGAATGAGTGGGATTATGGCTTTCCCATTGAGAGTATGTGTGTAATCAGGGTGATTTGCAGGCCTCAAATCAGAGAGAAGTGCCAGCCGTTGCAGAGGAGTCGGGATGTTTAGGATTCCAATGTCCATTCCTTAGCAACTGGGGAAAAGTCAGTTTCTCTTGGGAATCAGTCTTCAGGCCCTTCTACAGGTGCAGATGGGGAGTTTTCCCATGATATCAGATTAGGCCTCTGCATTGAGGGAGTCAAGACTCCATGAGAAATCCTTGAGACCCAGGTCTCAAAGACATGACCTCATGGCTTCATGGCTAGGCCTGAGCTTAAATTAAGTGATGTTTACTTGGAGTCTCCAGAGCAGACAACATTGCTATAGATTCAAGGTCCTGGTTCAGCTCTCATGCTCATGATTCCAGTCTCTTGTGTTTGCCTATGTTCCTGAAAGAGTTTTGCCTTGGAAAACTCCCTGTCTTCGTGTTTATGGATTTATGCTTATGTTCTTGACTTCCTGGATTTCATGTACCTAGCTATTTTGGACTATTGATCTTTTGTATATATGGACTACTATTTCATAGCACCTTTTCTACTGCTTTTTGGGAAATGCCCTTTCCCCCCTTGTGTAAAAGCTTTGTAAATAAACTGCTGGACTGGACTCTGTGTGATGCTGGGTGAAAGGGTGTTCCAAGCCTAGAGTGCAACACTAACAATGTGATGCAGCAGCTAAAAAACCATGCATAAATATTTCAAAGGCTGTAGTAAGGAAGAGGGGAACTGGGACTTGGCAAAATGAGTTCAGATTACAGTACAGAAAAGGAAATTGTATTTGAACGTAGAATTTCTTGACTATAAGAGCTGTTCAACAGTGGAATTCTCTGCCTCAGAGTATGATGGAGACTCCTTTGGAGGCTTTTAAACAGAGACTGGGTGGCCATGTGTTAGGAGTGTTTTGATTGTGCTTTCCTGCATGGCAGAGGGATGGCACTGGATGGCTCAAGTGGTCTCTTCCAACTTTATGATTCTACGATTCTATGTTTTTGAATGTGTGTGTTAATTCCTGCTTTGGATGCCCAGTTCTTTGCTCCTGATGCTGCCCACAGCCAGTTTGCAAGAGAGTAGGGAAAAAACAGAATGTAAAATGTTCGCTTAGCCTATTCAGCTATAGGAAATGTGTCGCTCAGTAATCACAATAGCAAATTAAGTCCATATTTACCTTCACAGGTTAAAGCACTCCATGCAAAAGCATGTGTTTGGCATACAGCAGGGAAAAACACAAGCGGCTGTTGTGGGAATCAAAAGTCATTTTGGTTGCAGGAGGTGGAGCAGTCAGTATATGAGGGGAATGGATATAAACATTTCTTTAAAATAGGCGTTGTTTAAAGAAAAGGGGACTGACGAAGGATAGGGTGAGTTTTGGAAAAATGGCATTCATAACTTTTTTGAAAAGAAAAAAAGATGTCATATTCTTTTAACAAATGTGAATCTCCATGAACATCTGGAAACCACCTTTTGGAAACCACTAGTCAAGGAAAGGCATGGCCTTGTTAGAAGTCAACCCTTTGAAAAAGTGATGTTTACAAGCATTCATGCAATGGCACACAGGTACATCAACTGATAAACCATGTCTTTGAACTGCCAGGGACAAAAACATGCCATTGCACAAAAAACATATACATAGCTAGCGGAGTTTTGAAAATGTTTCCTGGAAGTCCAAAATCATACTGCATTCACCTCCACTGAAGTCTAAGGCGAACTGCTAGAATTGAAGTCCAAAAACATACTGATAACAAAATAGAGTCTTGAGTCTGAACATGCTTAATACAGTCACGTCTATAGCCCTTCCCACACCAAAGAGGTACAGTCAAACTGACAAATCAGTATATACATGCAATACAGGTTAGCAAATATATACGTTAACAAACAAATGGTGAAGGCTTGGAAGGTTGCTGTTTCCAACAGTGTGAAGCAAGAAAATATGTAGATGGGTGGTAAAGAGGAAGAAGGACTCCGGGGACACACAAAGGATTGAATAAAGTTGGATCCCTGTAAAGAAATCCAGAAAAAGGAGAAGGACAGGGCTCTCCCCACCAGCCTTCCAAGGGAGCAAAGCTCAGCTGCTTTCCTTCATATCCTGCCCACTTCTCTTCCAAACACCATAGTTGGTGTCACCCTCGCAGACTGTCACCTGGTGCAGCCTGCCCCCTCCACACCCCACTAGTGATGCCACTATATGAAAGGAGGAATGGTAGCAAGATACCCACGTGGCTTTCCTGATCCCAGTGGCTGTGTATGAGGAGCCTCTTAGCTGATTCACTTCTCTCATCAGGTGGTCAGGATCGCGATTTCTCTGGAAATGTCTAAAGTCAAAATGTTCTTGAAAGTGGCTGGAGAACTGTAGGAGAGCAAACTGAAGAAGACATGGAAAGATGAAGGGTTAGTTCTGATGTTTTGGTTTTATTTTATTGTATTTTGCTGTAATGTATTTATGGGCTCGGCCTCATGTAAGCCGCCCCGATTCCCCTTTGGGGAGATGGTGGCAGGGTATAAATAAAGATGATGATGACGACGACGACGACAACGACGATTATTATTATTATTAATTGGGGAAACTGAGGTATCCGTTTCATAGATGACATTAGTTGTTCTCTGATCTCAGTTTTGGATTACAGCATATCCATACTTTTAGTTTAGATCTAATTATCACATATTTATGCATTAATATTTGGTTCCTCAAGTAAATAAATATTTGGTTCCTTTATCTCCATGGCCCCCGGTGGCGCAGTGGGTTAAAGCACTGAGCTGCTGAGCTTGTTGATCGAAAGGTCGCAGGTTCGATTCCGGGGAGCGGCGTGAGCTTCCGCTGTCAGCCCTAGCTTCTGCCAACCTAGCAGTTCGAAAACATGCAAATGTGAGTAGATCAATAGGTCTACTCCGGCAGGAAGGTAACGGCACTCCATGCAGTCATGCCGACCACATGACCTTGGAGGTGTCTACGGACAACGCTGGCTCTTCGGCTTAGAAATGGAGATGAGCACCACACCCCAGAGTCAGACATGACTGGACTTAATGTCAGGGGACTACCTTTACCTTTACCTTATCTCCATAGAGATTACCATCAACCCTGTCACATGAACTGGCCAACATCAAGCTGAATAACAGAACACTGGCCTTTCTGGTGCTTCCCATACGTTTCCAACTTAGGGTACATCCACACTGTAGACTTCATACCATTTTAATTGTCACAACTATGGAAACATGGACGTTGCAGCTGGCTTCTTATATTATCCTATAGGTAAAGGTAAAGGTTTCCCCTGACATTAAGTCTAGTCATGTCCAACTCTGGGGGGTGGTGCTCATTTCCATTTCTAAGCCAAAGAGCCGGCATTGTCTGTAGACACCTCCAAAGTCATGGGGGGTCACATATCAACCTATAAGCAGCCATATTTTCAAAGCTATTTTTAAATTTTTAATCTATATTCTATCTTACCTCCAAGAAGTCTGGGCATTACAAAAGTGGGACTCTGGGTGCATCTACAGTATATGAATACAGCTTGGCACCACTTTAAGTGCCATGATCCAATGGTATAGAATCACAGGATTTGTAGTCTTGCAATGTCTTTAGCTTTCTTCGCCGAACACTACTGGGTGGCTCACCAAACTACAAATCCAAATATCCCCAAACGTTGAACCATGGAGTTGAAATGGTTTCAAACTGCATTAATTCTATGGTGCAGATGCATCCCTCTTCAAGGTCTTGGAAACCAGACTGGAGTCATGCCTCAGCCTTTCTTGCAGGACAGTAATGAGAAGAGGAATTCCATTTTAACTGCTGCACATGGGATGGAAAGATTAGGCAAGAGGCCATTTTTGTCTTCACCAGAACCAGCAAGATGCATCAGGACAGCCTTGTTTAGGGATTGACCATGAAAATTCACATCCCACCCAAACCCACTCACTATTGTGCATCATTCCTTACTCACATGTGTATTCTGAGGGAAGCTTTTCATCATGAGAGCAAGAAAAACTTTCATTTGAATGAAATCTGAGGGACGGACACTGGTTGAGCCATCAAGCAGGAAGACAATGTCTCGAGCTTCATTGGAACACTCTGCATGGGTAAGAAAGAAGCAAAGTGGAGTCATTTATTCCAAAGCAAAAGCATTCCCTTCTGTTGGCAAGAGTCCTCAGCTTATCAGGATTCAGTATGAGCCAAGCTTCAGTACTAGGTTTTCTTTATACAGTTCTTGTACGTTGTATGGTTCTCTTGCCCAGATTTGTTTTGAAGATGCTTGCCATTCCTTTCTCCTGAGCCTGAGATAGTGTGACATGCCCAAGGTCACCCTGTGGATTTTGCAGCTCAGCAGTGATTTGAACTCTGGTCTCCAGAGTCAGAGTCCAATGTTCAAACCATGTGTCTCCTGGTTTGAGAGAACTGGCCATCTGCAAGGACGTTGCCCAGGGGACACCCTGATATTTTTCATGTTTTACCATCCTTGTGTCTATGCATGGGGAGCTGGAGCTGACAGAAGGAGCTCAACCCGCTCTCCGCAGATTCGAACCTCTGACCTGTCAGTCTTCAGTCCTGCCGGCACAAGGGTTTAACCCATTGCACCACCGGAGCCTCCATTGTGAGAAGTAACACACCATGTAACACTATTTTTGTTCCTGCGTTATAGATGTCATTTCTTAATTGGTTCTATCATAAAAACATGGGGAAAATATTAAACTGTAAAAAAAATGTTTTTGCAGGACACCCCGTAGCACATTTTGCTATAATTTTTAATAAATATCTCATAGAGTCTTGACCAATTCAACCCAGTCTGTGGCAGCCACAAAAATGAAGTTTTTGGAGTATAACAACTATTACTTTCAAAGTAAGTCCCGCACAATTAAACAGGAAATAACACTTCCAAACCAAGAACAGTAAATGTTGCAAAGTTTGTTGCATAGTGTAATCAAGGAAATACCTGTCTCTGAGAGCATGCACAATACTCTTGCTTCATCTGGGAAAAAGCAACATACTAGACTTGGTGCAATTTTTCCATTTATTTCTTAACTCTTCAGCCCCTGTTCCTGTTTTTGAACCCTGCTGTTGGAAAATTCCTGATTTTGTAAGAAATTGACTAATAAGATAACATACTAAATAGAAACACTTCTAAGAATGGAATTGCTGTAACTTTAGAAACATACCGTAACTATCTTTCTTACATTTCTTTAGCCTCAACCTCGAATCCCTAATATGTAAACATGGGATGTGAGTGTGACATAGAAAAGGCTGGAAACATCTATTTTTTTTACATGTTTTAAAAAAATCCTTAGCAAATTATATAATTATAAATTATATAGCACTTTCTCATGTTCAAAGCACATGTTATTTGGTTGTAAGCTTAATATTCACCCTTTAATTTAGTTGTAGTGTGATGAGACACAAGTACTCTTTGGCAGAGAAAGCTAAGGAATTTTGAAAATACAATTCTCAGGATTTCATAATATTGAGCCAAGACACTTAACATGACTGTAGAATTACACTGTAGAAGTAGAAGCTCTAGTTAAGTGTTCTTGCAGGTTAAAAATGGATTTTCCCCTTTTTTTGGGGTAGTATTGTACTCCTAACCCAAGCAAAGCTGCCTAACATACTAACTGGAAGTGAGCCTTCTTAATTTTCAAGATGAGATACGATGTAGTGCCTTTAGGGCAGTGTTTCTCAACCTTCCTAAGGCCGCAATCCCTTAATACAATTCCTCATGTTGTGATGACCCCCAACCATACAATTATTTTTATTGCTACTTCATAACTGTAATTTTGCTAGTTTTATGAATCGTAATGTAAATATCTGATATGCAGGATTTATTTTCATTCACTGGACCAAATTTGGCACAAATACCCAATGCGCCCAAATTTGAATGGTTTTGTTATTTGGGAGTTGTAGTTGCTGGGATTTATAGTTCACCTACAATCAAAGATGGAAATTTCCAATGATGGAAATGAACCAAACTTGACATACAGAACTCCTATGACCAACTGAAAATAGTGGAAGGGTTTGGTGGGCATTGACCTTCAGTTTTGGAGTTGTAGTTCACCTGCATCCCGAGAGTACTGTGGACTCAAACAATTATAGATCTGGACCAAACTTGACACAAATACTCAATATGCCCAAATGTGAATACTGGTGGAGTTTGGGGAAAATAGACCTTGACATTTGGAAGTTGTAGTTACTAGGATTTATAGTTCACCTACAATCAAAGAGCATTCTGAACCCCACCAATGGTAGAATTGGGCCAAATTTCCCACACCGAACCGCCATGCTTTTAAGGTACTTGCTGATGCAAACTTCCCTCCAGCCTCTCATGCTCTCCCTCACGCACCACTGTGGCATAGGCCCTGGTCCTTGAGTGCTCTAATTGGAGGTCAGCTGTGATCAGCAGTGCTGCAGAATTCAAAGAGGCACAAATGGAGGGTGAAAGGGAGAAACATGCCAAGAGGAAGGTGCATCAAGTCAACCCTGACCAGGACTGCCTTCCATCTGGAAACCGATGCCCTCACTGCAGATCAAGAATAGGGCTCCACAGCCACCTACAAACCCCCTGCCAAGACATTTCACTTGGAGGACCATCATCCTCAGTCTATGAGGGATCACCTAGGTAAGTAAAGTATAACTGGGTGAACTTCCATTTGAACCAGTACATTGAATTGGTCCATCTAAGATTTTTTAAAGGTTCATCGATTTAGTTTTTGAGTCACAATATTTTTTTTCTCCCTACAATTTCTCACTCAGGTAGTAACAACATTTAATAATAATTTAATAATAACAGCATTCCCTAACTCTCTGCCTTCTAGACTTATCCCCAGCCCTTACTTACGATCTTTTCCTGGGTTAATCTGAGGAGGCTCAACAGGAGTTAAGGCATCAGAGAGATCAAAGACGTCATCAACAGATCCTGTAACAGAAGAAACTAGAATAGAATGATATCAAGACTATGGGTGGGGGGTGGGGAGAATAAATATTAAAAGGTGGTTAATTTAGGAGAAAACACACAAGTTAGGAAAGGCAATTTATTTTCACCTCAATCTACTGAAAAGGTTAAAATTCTGCCTCTTGCCTTGATTTACAGAATGAAGAGGGAAAGGAAAGAAAGAAAGTAGGATTTTTTTTAAAAAAAGCAGATGGAAAAATGGAACAGCAAAGCATTAATCACGACTGTCCCTGCCATATCAGGATAGTTTGAAAGTATAAAGTACCATATGTGTGTTTTAATGTATTCTGTATATGAAACAGGGAGGGAGGTTATGCTGCTATATGTATAAAAGGAAACAAAAAGTATTGATTTTTTTCTTTTTTTGGGTCAGGAGTGACAAGAAACTCCAAGTCGCTTCTGGTGTGAGAGAATTGGTCGTCTGCAAGAACGTTGCCCAGGGGATGCCCAGATGTTTTGATGTTCTACCATCCTTGTGGGAGGCTTCTCTCATGTCCCCGTATGTCCAAATATGGACATGTGTGTAAACTCTGTGTTTCATACATACTTAATTTTCTGTCTATACAATTTGAATAGCAACTTCAGGGATGGTTTGTGGTTTGGCTTTGCGTGAGTGTTCTGTTCAAAATATACTCCGAGCGTAGGAAGAGATTACATAGGACATCCAGTCCAATCCCATTCTGCCATGCAGGAATATACAACCAAAACACTCCTTACAGATGGTATTCCAATCTATTTAAAAACCTCCAAAGGGGAAAACCACACACATTCTGAAGCTAAATATTGCCACTGTCAGCTATCACATAGTGTTTAAGCAAAAACAACAGAATTGTGATGTTTGCAGGTAGAAACACTCATAGAATCATAGAATCAAAGAGTTGGAAGAGACCTCATGGGCCATCCAGTCCAACTCCAAGAAGCAGGAATATTGCATTCAAATCACCCCCGACAGATGGCCATCCAGCCTCTGTTTAAAAGCTTCCAAAGAAGGAGCCTCCACCACACACTCAAAAGATAGATGGAGGAGTCTTCAAGGTTCACTTCATTATTGTGTGCCTTCAAGTCATTTTTAACTTGTCAGTCTTAAGGGTTTTCTTAGCAAGATTTGTTCAGATGGGGTTAAGGGAATGTGATTTGCCCAAAATTCCCTGGCCGAGTGGGGATTCAAATCCTGGTCTCCAGTCATAATCCAATCCTCAAACTGCTGGTTTACGTGGCCCTCTCCACTACTCCCACAGATAAACCAGTAAGTAGATTTGGGGACTATATACTGACCTGCTGCTCCAATGAAAAAGAGGGTGCCAATGAAGATGCTAAACAGCCTCATGATAGGTCTCAAAACCCTTGCTTGTCAAGGCTTTGGGTCCTTCCTATGTGAGAGCTATGGTATTTGTAAGAGGACAAAGGGCTTGTAAATAGGAGGGCACTGACCAGGGAAGGGCATCTAGTGGGGCAGGAAGCCACAACCTTGCTTTCCTGCCAGTTGCAAGCACATTCTGGTGTGCAAACATTTGCAGCATTAGCCCTTTGAACTCCTAGCCATAAAAACAATAAGGCACCTGGGATCAACTTTTTAATTATATATTAAAACATGACATCAGTTAGGGGTGACAGATACCAGGACCCTCAGGGAGGCTTATATATTTAGAGGATCTCTTATCCAGAAATCCAAAGTGCTCCAGGGTTGTCCACGTGGAAGATTGAGATAGGGACACCTTTGTTTTCTGATAGTTCAATTGAATTGGATAACTAGGACCACAGATAAAAGGATCCATGCCCGGCGAGTGCAAGCTAAACTGAATGGGCCAGGACTGAGAAACACCAAGTTGAAAACAAGCCACAGAGATTTATTCAGATTGGCCAGTAGGGATGCAAGTACAATTGCGTACTTCAAAGAGTACAAGCATAAAACATATGGAGAAAGCAAAATGTCTTATACAGTTTGGCAGCTATTCAAAACTCCCACTCCCTTCCCTAATTGGTTGACAGAAGGGCCACTCTGGATCTGAACCCTGACTGAGAATGCTGCTGAAGTCCCTGCCTCCAGGTGGGGATTTCCTCTTGCAGGGAAATGACAGTTTGGAATTGACTGACTAGTGAGCTAATCAGTTCATAGAATCATAAAATCATAGTCATAGAGTTGGAAGAGGGCTTAGGGACCATCCAGTCCAACCCCCTGCCAAGAAGCAGGAAAATTGCATTCAAAGCACCTCTGACAGATGGCCATCTAGGCTCTGTTTAAAAGCTTCCAAAGAAGGAGCCTCCACCACACTCCAGGGCTGAGAGTTCCACTGCTGAACGGCTCTCACAGTCAGGAAGTTCTTTCTAATATTCAGATGGAATCTCCTTTCTTGTATTTTGAAGCCATTGTTCCGTGCCCTAGTCTCCAGTTGATGGGATGTTCCCTGGGAGAATGCATCATTTGCAAAGATAATGCTAAAGAAATGATAATGTGCTCTTGATTAGTTCAACTGTCCAGTTCTGAGTTTGACAAAGATAGGAGCTTCCGCAGACAAAGGCACAAGGCTCCTAAAACAAGAGATGATGATTTTGGGCAATCAAGGGCTGTGTTGTCAATAAAGAGACTTTATGTACTTGAGCTTCTCTTTCCATGGTCAGCAATCTCTCAGCCTGAAGTGAACCATGAACCATTAATCCTGAGTTTATCTGGGATGGCACGGGGAACTTATCTATCTCTGCGAACATGAATAATGGATTTTTGATTATTGCTTGTCTGGGAAACAGCCAGAGGGATTCGTCCAACCTTCTAATTCTCACGGAAATACCTCAGCAGGGTTATGGGGAGGTGATGGTCTCTGGGCTGTATCTTGTTATATTTTATCAAGGAGGTTATACATTTATATAAAAGGGATAGATACAGTATCCAAAAGATGCAAGTTACACAGAAATTCAAGGAAAACAGATACAATTTATTAAAGGGTTAGAACAATAAAGCCTAGTGGTGGTGGGGAGGGGGAGTGTTGAAGCTGCCGCTGGTCTGTTCTCGATCTCCGATGCTTCAAAATAGCAAAAGTTTGACAAAGCATTTTAAAAATAATAATGAATACATTTATTGAGGAGTCACTATATATCCTTTAGACGGGGGGTCATTGTGGTTCAACAACACAATGTACACAAACTTGGTTTCATGCACAAATCCTTCCCAAACCTGTGGCTTCACTGCAGCTTACACAAAGTCAAGACCTGTTGCAGTGGTTCTCAACCTGGGGTCCCCAGATGTTTTTGGCCTTCAACTCCCAGAAATCCTAACAGCTGGTAAACTGGCTGGGATTTCTGGGAGTTGTAGGCCAAAAACATCTGGGGACCTCAGGTTGAGAACCACTGTGTTAGGGTCAATAACACTGCCTATTAATCTCCCCCCCCCCCCCCCCCCCCCCCCCGATTTCAGAAAGCAGAATAGCAGCAGCTTGTCTAAACACGTAGTGGGACCATCTGGAGCTGGAAGAGAATTTTGCGCAGAGAACTACCAGTGTTTGTGGCTGTTCAGCCAAAGGCACATTCAAACACCTCCTTTGTTCACTTTTTGTTACTCTATCCTGTTTCCATCTATTTGCAAGCAACGAAGTTATACTTTGTATTCTTGGTGACTTTGTTTTGCTGCAATGTATTCCTAAATTGAGTAGGATTTGAGTAGATCTGGCCTTCCAGATCACTACAGGAGCTAAAAGAAAACTGGGGAGGGCAACAAAGAAAGCATTTATCAAATGGAAAAGAATTGGGTTTTCTTAGTGTTTACTCTTGGCGACTGCACATTCTCAGCAGCTATATTCCAGGAAGATCAGGCTCTGAGTCCAAGTTGGCTGGCCTGCTGCATTCTCCAAAAACAATCCATTAGGGGTAAAGTCCAAAGCCGTGTTCCTGGAGTAAGGCTTAACCTGTCCACTTAGCACCAGTGCTACTTGCAGGCAGAGTGAGCACAGCCTCCAACATTTCACAGATAAAACCTAGGATGGCTAAGCAACACCAAAGTGTTATCAAGGTGGCAAAACTTATCAATAAGGAAGAACACAAAAGGAGAGCTTGCAGCAGTTTGATTTTGAGTGAACCTACTGGGAAGAGCAGCAATCTGTCCACTGTGCTGAGTTACTTCTGCACAAGCCGCTTTGGCCCTTTTAGCTCAATGTATAGCAACTAAAGTAAGTAAAGGACAAAGCAAGAGGAAACAGAAACTGAAGAAGTGGGATGGCAGAGGACTAATCAGGAGCATTCCTACCAGATCAGGATAGATTATGGAGTGAAACAGCCATCTTCAGTAGCAGACTTGGCAATCTCATGGATAATCTATATAAATAAAAATGTAATGTTCGTTTGTGGGATTAACATAACTCAAAGACTGATATCGAGCTCCTTTGGGAGGGTCTCCCCAGCGGAGGAGAACCCTGAGGACCGCTCAAAAGGGCCCTTGAACCTTGGTGAGGCCAGCGGGAGCCAATCAGAGCCGCGAGGAATATTAAAATAATAAGACCTCAGCAAAGCGGAAGAAGTCCAGCGACCGAGGCGTTTATTTGCGATTCAGCTGATATCGGATGCATTGCAGGAATCATTCCACCGCAAGCATGCCGGAGTACAGTGATGCAGGCATATTTATACAATTTTTGAAAACCCAGAGTTCAAACCTTCCGCCCCGGCTCCTCTGATGTTCCCCGCTGTGATTGGGTGATGGGCGGACACCTGGGAGGCAGCCCTCCCGCCCCTGGCGCCTCTGTACCAATCAGGAAGCTCCAGTGGTCTGTAGGATCCAATGGGGAGACCTCTGTCACATGGTGGCGACAGCCAATCAGGAGAAATGGGGGCGGGATGAGGGAGCACAAAGGAATCTGGGAAAGGAATCTGCAGACAAAGGAATGCCATGTGCTCAGCGAAACAAAGGAAAAATGTCTCCAGCTGATGCAGCTTTGGGGGGGGGGATATGAATGACTATTTCGGCATCGGACCTCAGGGGGGATCAACGATGCCTTATGCAAATACAATCTTTTTATTCCGAGCGTCCATAAGTCCCCTTATCCCATCAGACATGCTCAGAGAATGGGGAGGGGCCATTATGGCTATGGTTCCATGCAGGGTGAATTAATCAAAGGCGAGTCTTGGGAGATGCAGAGGTTCTCCCTCAGGCAGTTCCTGGTCACATCATTTGTGGGGCAAGGGTCAAGGGGAAAAGGGGGAATAGACCATACTACACAGCAAGATACATACATTCAAATCATAAGCATTTCATGGCAACAAAACCCCATCTTTGTCCCACATCCCAAGTATATTTAATAGAGGAACTGATTTTAATTGAAAACTTGGAGTCCCATGGTTCTGGAGAAAGTTTGTGGAAATGGAGGTGGCTTGCAGTTCAAAGCAAGCAAGCAGACTTGGGGGGGGATGCTCGGCATCAGATCTAGGGAGGTAATGCTACCCCTCTATTCTGCTCTGGTTAGACCCAACGAGTGACCATCACTCCTAAAAACACTGAAAAACACAGTGGAAGGGACTTAAAAAGCCAAAAAACAAAAAATACACATGCACAAAATCACATATATACACATACACAAATATATACACACACATATACACATAACACATATGTGTATAACACACACACACATACACATAACATAAACAAAACACATATACACAGATTGGGCCACAGTAACGCGTGGCAGGGGACGGCTAGTAATCATAATAATTTTATTTCTTACCGGCCTCTCCTCAAAGCTCAAGGAAGGTTACAACATTGCTAAAACACATAACGTATGTACTTTTACTATAAGCCAACCCAAATATAAGCTGAGACACCTAATTTTACCACAAAAACCTGGGAAAGTGTATTGACTTGAGTATAAGCCGAGGGTGGAAAATAATAATAATAATAATAATAATAATAATAATAATAATAATAATCTTTATTTATACCCTGCCATCATCTCCCCAAAGGGGACTCAGAGCGGCTTACATGAAGCCAAGCCCAGCAATACATTACAGCAAAATAAAATACAGAACAACAAAAATTACATCACAATAAAATAAATGCAGCTGCTACTGGTCAATTTCAAAATAAAAATAGATCCCAATAAAATTACTTAAATTGAGGCATCAGTAGGTTAAATGTTTTTGAATATTTACCGTATTTTGAAGAAAAACAGTAAACTAACTCTGTAAGTGGAAAAGTAGAGTCAACAAAAACAATATAGTATCAACAATAACTTAATAATAATAATAATAATAATAATAATAATAATAATAATAAACAACTTCATTTGTCTCCCGCTCTATCTCCCCATGGGGACTCAGGCTGGCTTCTAACACAGTAACAGGCAAACATTCAATGCCCATATAAACAATGCAGAGCTAGACATACATCTATAATTATATATATTAATTTCACATATGCATTTCCCCTTGAAACATTTGCAAATCCTTTCTCTATATATGTACATTTCCCTCCTGCAATATTTGCAAGCCTTATATATCTATGTTTATATCTATCTAGATATCTCTCTATATATGTGTGCGTGGGTGTGTGTCTACTGCAATAAGATTGCCTACAAAACGTGGACTGTCTACAGACATCACACTCAACTCCTGGAATGATTCCATAAGTGTTGCCGCCGTAAAATCCTGCAGATCTCTTGGGAAGAGAGATGGACAAATGTCAGCATTCTGGAAGAAGAAAAAACCACCAGCATTGAAGCGATGCTCCCATGCCATCAATTCCGCTGGACTGGCCACGTTGTCTGAATATCCAATCACTGTCTCCCAAAGCAGTTACTATATTCCCAACTCAAGAACAGGAAATGTAATTACATTGCATTGGTGGACAGGAAAAGAGATCGAAAGATGGGTTTAAAGCTAACCTTAAAAACAGTGGCATAGACACGAAGAACTGGGAAGCCCAGGCCCTTGAGCACTCTAACTGGAGGTCAGCTGTGACCAACAGTGCTGCGGATTTCAAAGAGGCATGAACAGAGGGCAAAAGGGAGAAACATGCCAAGAGGAAGGCGCGTCAAGCCAACCCTGACCGGGACCACCGTCTACCTGGAAATCGATGTCCTCACTGCGGGAGAACATGCGGATCAAGAATAGGGCTCCACAGCCACATATCGACCCACCGCCAAGACACAACACTTGAAGGACATCATCCTCAGACTATGAGGGATCGGCCTAAGTAAGTAAAGTAATAAGGTTTTCTAAGCAGCAATTTCAAATAAGAACTGCTGTTCATGGTGCACATTAATATACCCCTTTATCTCCTTCTGAGAAAATGTGTGAAGCGTGTACTCATTTGCATGGCAGTCATTCAAGGTTGTTTTTTGAAGCAGCAAAAATACACATATTGTGATTCCTTCCATGCTGTTATTGTAATGTGATCCAAGGAAACAAATAAATTCAGCATTTTCTGTTGCCAGAGCATTTCATTAAAATAAAAATGAGAAATTACATCAGGATAACCAGGATATTGCTAGCAAAAGCCCAACCACACTCTATAAATTACACATATAATTCATATGGATTCCTGCTGTTGTTCACATGGTCAATGGGAAACTGTGCTTCTTTTTGGCCATCACTACTAGAACATGCAATCTGGCTTCAGATAGATCTAGGTTACAGTTTCCAAGTATAATGTGGATTTCTTCCTGAAAATTCAACCTTTGGCACAATCATATCAAAAGCCTGAATATATTTTTTTTCCATTGATCTACCAGATATTAATGACAAGGAAGCAGTCTGAAATAGTGGCATGTAATCCATTTCAAAGCAGAAAATGTGGAGTATCATAATCTGGATTATATGGCAGTGTAGAAGGGGTCTTAGAAGACCAAATGGAGCTTCACTGATGGATCTCTTCTTATAATCCTGTTACGTAGAAACATAGAAATTCGGTTTGTTAACTGATGACCTCACAACCTCCGAGGAGAGAATTTCAATTTACTGTTACTGTTGTTGGTTGATGCCTGTTTTTATAATGTTGTTGGTTTTATTATGTTTTATACTGTTGTGGTGTATTTTAGCATGCTATATTTTAACTGTGTTATTTGGGCTTGGCCCCAAATGTAAGCCACCCTGAGTCCCTTCGGAGAGATGGAGGTGGGATACAAAAATAAAGTTCAGTTCTTGTGGGTTTTTTTCAGGCTATATGGCCATGTTGCTGTTGTTATTATTATTATCATCATTATTATGCCTGCCATAGATGTGGGCAAAACATCAGGAGAGAATGCTTCTGAAACATGGCCATACAGCCCGGAAAACTCACAGCAACCCAGTAATTCCAGCCATGAAAGCCTTCAACAACACATTGATAGACTAAAATCCATAAATTGAACTTTCCGCAGTCAATGATATACTTCACTTGCATTTTCTGTTTAAGCACCCTTTTTATGCATAATCACTTGCAGGGAGTTTTTTAATGGGAGTTTTTTTTATTAGCCTGTTGTTGCTTGATGCTTGTTTATTATTGTTATGCTGTTTTATGCTATTTTAATTTGTTATTTATTTATTTATTTATTTAGAGCTTTTATAACCCGGTCTTCTCAACCTCCGAAGAGGGACTCAGGCCAGCTAACAACAGAAAAATTCATACACAAATAAGCTAAAACATAATAACATCGTAATATAATAATACATTAAAATGCATTACAAAACAGATCAAATAGTTACATACAGCCAAATCATCAAGGTAAAATCACAAATTCATCACCATCCGCCAGCGTGGTTGGCTGTCATTGACTCGAACATCATTCTGAGAATGCTATATCCCAGAGCCAAGATTTTACCAGCTTTCTGAAAGTCAGGAGGGAAGGGGCAAATCTAATTTCCATCAGGAGAGAGTTCCAGAGTTGAGGGGCCACCACCAAGAAGACCCTGTCTCTCGTCCCCACTAGACATGATTGCAAAGGTGGTGGGACCGAGAGCAGGGCCCCTCTAGAAGATCTTAACAACCTTGATGGTTCATAGAGGAGAATCCATTCAGACAGGTAAATTTGTTATTGTTCTGCTTTTAATTGTATGTTGCCTGGGGTTGGCCCCATGTAAGCCGCCCCGAGTCCCCTCGGAGAGATGGAGGCAAGATAGAAAAATAAAGTTGTTCCTCCTCCTCCTCCTCCTCCTCCTCCTCCTCCTCCTCCTCCTCGTCTTCTTCTTTATTTTTTAACTTTTGCGTGCTTTTTAATAATTCTATCTTTCTAAAAAAATATTCTATTTTATTGTGATTATTTTAATTGGAACCATATTGTTTTTACCTTAATCCGGAAGAAAGGTGGTATCAAAACAGAATAAATAACAAATATTCCCTTCCTTTTGAAAAGTTCATGTACCATTAATGACTGGTGTGATAGGCATCCAACAGGTGACATCATTGATCCTGCATCTCTGCGCTAGAAAATCCTTCCTTGATGAATTTCTCCCGACAGCTTTAAAAGCTGTAAAATCGCAGCCAAAAACAGAGTAACCAGTTACTACATGCTGGAACTGTTCCCTGCAGAGTGAACACGAAAGACGTCATGTCTTGGTTTGGACTTGTAATCATGGGTACTAACATCCCCCAACTCCTATGTCCAAACACATTGTTTCAAGGGTGTGTGTTAGGGAAAGCATATTACATGGTTAACACTGGCCTCTCACGCTGTGGTGGTGTCTGCTAAATCTAGCTTGTCAGCAAGGTGAAATCAAAGATAATTATAAGGTATAAGGATGGGACCTATATTATAAAAACATTTCCCCTACGTCCCCCCAGAAAGACACATCCAAGTAATAGAACCTACTCAACACCATGAGACTATCTGATACTCTTGTGCCTTTGATGGTTTTCCTGCAAAATGTTTTGCATCTTACTACAGGTCAAGAAAGGACGCTGCGCTTCGTGACACTGGTAGGCAGAATTAAATGATGATGATTCTTGGGGATGTTGGGAAAAGAAGGCAAGACTTGTCAGTCTTTAGCATAAGAGGGCTTGGATACTAGATTGCTTGAGGTCCTAGGAAGAATTGGGATCTATTCACAAGAGGAAACTGTGCCAAAGTTGGACTGCTGTGCATTTTCTGGGCTGTATGGCCATGCTCCTGAAGCATTTTCTCCTGACGTTTTGCCCACATCTATTGCAGGCATCATCTATAACTATAGTGGTATAGTACAATATAGTAATATATAATACTAGTATTATGCTATGCTAATAATTATAATATATTGTATGTACATATAATATTGATCATAATATTGTAATATGATATCATACTAATAATAATACAATATAGGTTAAGGTAAAGGTTTCCCCCGGACATTAAGTCCAGTCGTGTCTGACTCTGGAGGTTGGTGCTCATCTCCATTTCTAAGCTGAAGTGTCGTCGTTGTCTGTAGACACCTCCAAGGTGATGTGGCCGGCATTACTGCATGGAGCGCCATTACCTTCCTGCCAGAGCAGTACCTACTGATCTCCACACATTTGCATGTTTTTGAACTGCTAGGTTGGCAGAAGCTGGGGCTGACGCTGCTCCTAGGATTCGAACCTGTGAGCTCACGCTGCTCCTAGGATTCGAACCTGTGACCTTTTGGTCAACAAGTTCAGTAGCTCAGTGCTTTAACCCACTACACCACTGTGAGCTCCTTAATACAATATAATACAATACAATAATACAATATAATAATATTATAATTATTGTACGATATAATAATAATAAAATACAATAATATAAAACAATATAATAATATAATAATTATATATTTTATATTACATGTAATATTACTAATAATATTGCAGTATAGTGGTATACTACAATATAGTAATATATAATGCTAATACTGTGCTATTCTGATAATATAATATATTGTATGTTCATGTAATTTGTAAGTTGCCTTGAGTCGCTTCAGGATGAAAAGGGCAGTGTATACATGTCACAAATAAATAAATAAATGTGGGCAAAATGTCAGGAGAGAATGCTTCTGGAACATGGCCATACAGTTTGGAAAACTCACAGCAACCCAGTGATTTGGACCATGAAAGCCTTCGACAACACATTGTGCCATCGTTTCTTGATTATTTGTGATAAGAGTAAAAACCAAGGATGGTCATCCTGAACCAGTGGATTGTATTTGTTGAGCCAAGAGAGAAAAGACTAGGCTATATTGCAAGAGTCCTTTAGGGCAATGTGGCTCTGTATTCAAAAGTAAATCTCTCATTCATAAACATATGCTGTATTGGTTATACATCTTTAGCCCATTCCCAGGAGCTCAGAAGTAGTAGTTTTCTATTTACTTCGTCTTTGCATTGTGTCTTTGCTACCAGTCATATGGGTGGTGGAGTGCCTGTTGGCATCATGTCGTGTTCAAACTTTCACAGTCACTCAGTGGCATAAAGAGTTAACTTGTACTAGTGACCAGAAAACTTTAAAAAAATTCATGAAGCCACCATAGATCAACAGGCAACCTGAAGGCATATATGTACTCAAAGAGGCTCACAATTTATAGACTCCATGAAGAACGTGGGGTTTAAGAAGTGATCTTAAGTCGAGAAGGATTCCTAGAATGGACAACTTCTGGCACTATCATTTGAATGACATTCTCCAGCTGTTGTGCCTTTTCCTTCTTCATTAATGGAAAGGAATGAAATCTGAAAGAAGCAGTGGAAAAACACGGAAGGATTGCAAATTGAGGCATGCTGTCATCTGTATCCCCATCAAATTATCCAATGGAGGTTGAGCAATTGCTCAATATGGTGTCATCTAAACAGAGCCTTGATGGATTATTGTGGTTTAGAAAAGTTTTGTCTTGAGTTTGAAACCCCTTCTGTCTTAGGTGTATCGCCATGGTGATCGATCCCCCCTTGGAACCTACCCAACAGATCCCCACAAAGCAGCACCCTGGCCAGAGGGATTCCAGCAGCTCACCAAGGTGGGATCTGGTGTGTGTGTGAGAAGAAGAGGTGGATGCTCTTGAGTCCACATTTTGTGTGTCTGTTTGTGTAAGGAAGAGGGAGAAGAGGTATTCATTCTTGTTGTTTCTGGCACTTGCAGGTAGGTATTTTGCAACAAAAGGCTCTTGGAAAGTTCCTGAGGGAGAAATACGATGGATTTTTGAGTGCTGCTTACAAACCACAAGAGGTAAATCTAAACAAATAAAAATGTAATGTTAGTTTGTGGGATTAACATAACTCTAAAACCACTGGGTGAATTGACACCAAATTTGGACACAATACACCTATCAGGCCAACGAGTGACCATCACTCATAAAAACACAGAAAAATACAGCAGAAGGGACTTAAAAAGCCATATATATATATATATACACACACACACACACACACACACACACACACACACACACATTACAACGCATGTGCAAAACCACATATATACACATATACACAAATATATACAGAAATATATACACACATATATATGCACACACAAAACACACAGAAAGGGGGAAGGAAGGAAGGAAGGAAGGAAGGAAGGAAGGAAGGAAGGAAGGAAGGAAGGAAGGAAGGAAGGAAGGAAGGAAGGAGAAAAGGAGGGAGAGAAAAGGAAAGAAGGAGGGAAGAAGAGAAGGAAGGAAAGAAAAGTAGAGAAGGAAGGAAGAAGGAAATAAAAAAGTGAAAGAGGGAAGGAAGGAGAGAAGGAGCAAAAGAGAGAAAGAGGGAGGGAGGGAGGGAAGGAAAGAGACAAGGAAGGATGGAACCAAAGCGCAAAGGAAGTGAGAAAAGAAACAGGTAGAGAAGGAAGAAAGAAGAAGGGAAATAAAAAGAGGGAAGGAAGGAAATGGGGAGGGAAGGAAGGAGAGAAAGAAAGAAGGAAAGAAAGATGGAATGTTTGCCACAGCAACGTGTGGCGAGTACAGCTATTATTTGATATTATTTACACAATAACATATTACACTCATATCACTTGCCTTCAGTAATTCTCAGGGCAACAAACAAATATAAACACAGTAATGGAAACCTGAAATATGGGATAATTAATTTATTAAAAACTTCCAAAAACTAGTGGAACCAAATGTGTTATCCAAATCAGTAAGAACTCTTTCTTAAGAAAGGGAAATCAAACAAAAAACTATATAAAGAGCTTTGAAAAATTAAAAACATTTTTGCTCCGTAAGATATCAGGCAAATATCCCAAGGAAGATGCCCAAAGTTAAGGGGTCTAATAGTAGGGCTAGCCATAAATAATATGGATATATCCATTTTAGATATACATTCGCAGCACAGATTATGACCGCACCCTCATGAGTGCCCAAGCCAACCTGATGGGACTCTATTCAAACTCGGATCCAGAGACTGGCTGGAGTCCTGTTCCTGTCCATACAGTGCCTATTAAATATGATAAGGTAAGCTAATGGAAACCAATAATCTTGGATTGTGTGAAATGAGATTCCTCTCTCCATGCCGTACACTGGTTGCCAACTTCCTGAGATCATTAAGTTTAAGATTTATTTATTTATTTATTTATTTATTCATTTATCAACCTTAAGTAATTAGTCAACACTAAGGGGTGATGGGAACTAGCATGATAGAGAGCTGTACATTCCTCATTTCTGAAAAAGAAGGAGCCTTTAAGGAGAATGTATGGCTACTTTCTGTAATGCTTTAGCTCTGAGAAAACAAGGGACCAGTTTTTTTCCTATAATCAGATTTTGTTTTTTCCCCTAAATTGATCCTCACAGCTTCTGAAATCACCAACTCGGACTTGCCAACGCTACCAACATCTGATGGAAGAGACAATTAATTTGCCAAGTTATCAGGCTAAAATGGAAGGCTGGAAGGTATGAAGACGAAGAGGCGGAGGAAGAAGAAACTTCCTAGCACTGCTTTTCCCATTTAATTAATGACAGTTTAAAAAAAAAACAAATCATCTAATTATAATGTTTAAAATAGATAAAACACATTTTAAAAGTGGAAAATCATTAGAACCAATAGTAGATACAAAATAAAACAGCAATAATTAAAATGCCTGACACTAGAGTCCTTTGCATGTGCATGTCAATAACCTTAATGGAACTTCCAGCTACATTGATTTTCATATTATTGTATCTGGGGGAAACAAATAAGATTATAAACTGAAATTTTGATGCCAAATATGTTAATACCAGGCAGAACATCTGAAGGAATGGATTTCGTAAGTGGGTCACCATGGTCACCACTATATTAAAGAGTGTTATGGGGAGCAACCATATTTCACCTATAAGACTTCAGCCTATTTTCATAGAAATATGACTCTTTTTGATAAACATATGCAAATAAATGGTGTTTCATGCAGTCATGCTGGCCACATGATTTTGGAGGAGTCTACGGACAACAGCGGCTCTTCAGCTTAGCACCACCTCCAGAGTCAGACACGACTAGACTTAATGTCAAAGGGAAACCTTTACCTTTAATTATGCAAATAACATACTGAAACTAAACAACTGAAATTTAATATATTGTCAAACGTTTTCATGGCCAGAATCTATGGATTGTTGTAAGTTTTTTGGGCTGTACGGCCATGTTCCAGAAGCATTTTTTCTCCTGACTTTCCCTTGCATCTATGGCAGGCATCCTTAGAGGTTGTGAGGTCCAAAGATGCAGGTGAAATGTCAGGAGAGAGAATGTTTCTGGAACATAGCCATACAGTTCAAAAAACATACAACAACCCAACTGAAATTTACCTTTCTAAATCTAATTTCTCACCTTTACACCTGCACAGGGCTTCATAAGAGAGATGGCCAATTACACAGGACTTAAACTGGAGCAACTCACTTTGCGGGGCCTTTGGAGAGTACACGACTCCCTTTTCTGTCAGGTAGGAATATTGTATCACAGTACATGCCTACTTTCCAATATAACTTTTTGCAGTTTGGAAAAGTAACTTTTTGGCCATTGACCACTGACTTCTTCCAAGTTCTGTTTTTCTCTCACTTCCCTCCTAGAAAATCCACAACCTGACCTTGCCTAGCTGGGCCACACCACGGGTTCTGAGGACGCTTGCTGAAATCGAAGCATTTAATGTTGAAGCCCATGTAGGAATGCACGCCAGCCAGGAGAAAGTTCGATTCACAGGAGGTAAATTTTAATTATTCAGTTTATAATCCTAGGCCTTAATCAGCAACACTATATCAACTATTTCATTGATTTATTTACAGTATTTATATTCCGCCCTTCTCACCCTGCGGGGACTCAGGATGGATTACAATGTACACATACATGGCAAACATTCAATGCCAAAGACACACAAAAGATATAGACAAACAGTCAGAGGCTATTTAACTTTTTCTGGCCGTCAGGGGAGCTGTCGCTTTCATTGTCCATCTGCAACACTGATGAAGTACTTCCGCATTCCCCGCATGCTTTTGTTGGAGTCTTTTTTATGGCCTTGTAAATTTTGTTAAATTAGCCCCCCCACACATAGGCGGTAGCTAATTTTCCTACTTGACAGATGCAACTATCTTTCGGGTTGCAAAAGTCGACAACAAGCTACACAGTTGGTCGGAAGCTCACCCGGGCTGGCTTCGAACTCATGACCTTGTGGTCAGAAGTGATCTTAATGCGGCTGACACTCAGACAGCTGCGCCATTACATTACAAAATAAAACATTTGATCATATAAATATAGACAACTGTTACAGCAAACTTGTCAACTGCATCCATTTGGTTTACCAGTCTGATAGATGACTTTGAACTGCAGCAACTCAGCTTCACTACCACTTGGGTACAAAGTTAATATGAACCAGCCCTTATCTACCAATTTGGGACTGATCATAGACAGAGTGAGGCAATTGCCTGTTTGTTTGTTTTTTTGGTTGTGTCAGGAGCCACTTGAGAAACTTCAAGTTGCTTCTGGTGTGAGAGAATTGGCCGTCTGCAAGGATGTTGCCCAAGGGATGCCCGGATGTTTTGATGTTTTATCATCCTTGTGGGAGGCTTCTCTCATGTCCCCGCATGAGGAGCTGGAGCTGATAGAGAAGGAACTCATCCGCACTCTCCCCAGATTTGAACTTGTGACCTGTCGGTCTTCAGTCTTTTTTTTTTTTTTGTCATGTCAGGAGCGACTTGAGAAACTGCAAGTCGCTTCTGGTGTGAGAGAACTGGCCGTCTGCAAGGACGTTGCCCAGGGGACACCCTGATGGTTTGATCATCCTTGTGGGAGGCTTCTCTCATGTCCCCACATGACGAGCTGGAGTTGACAGCGGGAGCTCATCCGCACTCTCCCCGGATTCGAACCTGCGACCTGTCGGTCTTCAGTCCTGCCGGCACAGGGGTTTAACACACTGGGCCACCGGGGGCTCCACATCTCTGGTGGAAAATGGATGTTTGCTGTCTCTGACTTTCCCTCTTATGTTTTTTACATGTATGACCATACCAGTTTTATCAGCATTGTCCTTATTCTTGCTATAGGATTGTTACTGGATGCCATCCTGAGCAACTTCTCCAAAATTGCGTGCCGAGACCTGCCTCTCAAAATGATTATGTATTCTGCTGTAAGTCCACCCCTACCTTACAATTTCCAAAGCAACAGTGAAAGATGGGATGGTTGAGGGATCTGCATGTCCAAGACAGTGTAGGTTCATAATTATAAAGTTATTTCAGATGTCTTATCATTTAAAAAAATCCAAAACATCCTGGCTTTTTAAATTTTGGATACACCAGAATTAAGAGTAGTAGGAAATGATCTCAATAGTCAAGAGTGGAACACATACTTTCAAAAGCAATTTGGAGCGTGATTGGAACAGCCTGCCTAAAACCAAACAAAGAAATAGCTGTCGAAAGCTATGGGTTGCTGTGTGTTTTCTGGGCGGTATAGCCATGTTCCAGAAGCATTATCTCCTGATGTTTCACCCACATCTATGGTAGGCATCCTCAGAGGTTGTGAGGTCTGTTAGAAATTAGGCATGTGAGGTTTATATATCCGTGGAATGTCCAGGGTGGGAGACAATTTCAACATTCACACTTACTTCAATCAAACAAGAGTTTTCTCCCTCCCTGGACATTCCACAGATACATAAACCTCACTTGCCTAGTTTCCAACAGACCTCACAACCTCTGAGGATGCCTGCCATAGATGTAGGGGGAAATATCAGGAGAGAATGCTTCTAGAACATGGCCATACCGTCCGGAAAACTCACAGCAACCCAAAGAAATAGCTAATGTAACCAGATGCCATTCTGGAAAGATTCCATCTTCAGCAACTTTGTCACTTGGTTTGGGAAATGTACAGAAGGGTTTCCTAAATAGATCTTAAATTATAAAGCAAATTAATAAAGCATCATGGCTTCCCAACAAATTCAAGAGGACTTTAACTCTTTCCAGCTGAAGGAACAAGAGTTCTTGAGAATGCTAAGAACTATAGCAAGGCCGCTAACAACATATTTTAAAGCACTACTAAGTAAAACTATATGTATTTTGTACTGCTGCCTTAATGTTCTTGACTCAAATGTTCTTAAAAGATTTTAGGATGAAAATGTTTAATTGGCCCTATGGACACCACTGTATATACTGAACATTATTAAATCTTCTGAACAGCATAAGATAAAGAACATCTGGTAAAGAAAAGGATGCAGAAGCATTTTTAAAATAGATATGGTCACACTTTGTCTAAGTTGCTTTTCTGCTCACTTTAGCATGACAGCACCTTGATTGCTTTGCATGGAGCCCTGGGCATTTATAATGGTCACCCACCACCCTACGCTGCCTGCCATGGATTTGAGTTCTACCAGGAAGCCAATAAGTATGTCTGGTTGTTGTTTTTTTCATGTCGTTTCTGGTGTGAGAGAATTAGCCGTCTGCAAGAACGTTGCCCAGGGGACACTCGGATTTTTGATATTTTACCATCCTTGTGGGAGGCTTCTCTCATGTCCCCACATGAGGAGCTGGAGCTGACAGAGGGAGCTCAATCCATTCTCCCCGGATTCGAACCACTGACCTGTTGGTCAATAGTCCTGCCAGCACAAAGGTTAATTTAATCAGGTTAAAAATGGGAGGGAGGCAGGCATTTATTTTGTGGGCAGTTAGGCGTGTCCTAGGATTTTCACTTTTTTCTGGACACATGCATGTGTACCAGCAAGAGGATGGTAGCCCCTGCTCCGCAGAATCCTAGAAAATAAAACAAGCAGCCGTTTTGAGCAATTTGCTTGCATTTATTGTTAGTACAAAGCAGATTATGTGAGAATTGACAGATAGAAGTATCCTTGCGGCACAGCCAGCTGCATCCCTCAAGTGTAATTTGTCAGCACATTTAACTGCTGACGCGTTACACCAGCAGCTTTTAACCTTTTTTTGACTCACAGACCATTTGAAATTTGAATGGAAGTTATATGTCACCCTCCTTGGAAAAGCACTTTTTCTCAAGTGACAGCCATTTTGCACACATGGTTTGCAAGCCTCCTCTTGAGACCCATTCATTACAGCATCATAGGTTCAGAGGGCCTGTTCACACTATTTTGCCATCCTCAGAGGTTGTGTTTATATATCTGTGGAACGTCCAGGGTGGGAGAAAGAACTCTTGTCTGTTTGAGGCAAGTGCGAATGTTGCAATTGGCAACCTTGATTAGCATTGAATTGCCATAGATGTGGGCAAAACATCATAGAATCAGAGTTGGAAGAGACCTCATGGGCCATCCAGTCCAACCCCATTCTGCCGAGAAGCAGGAAAATTACATTCCAAGCATTCCCAATGAATGGCCATCCAGCCTGTTTAAAAGCTTCCAAAGGAGGAGCCTACACCACACTCTGGGGCAGAGAGTTCCACTGCTGAACAGCTCTCAGTCAGGAAGTTCTTCCTAATGTTCAGATGGAATCTCCTTTCTTGTAGTTTGAAGCCATTGTCCTGCGTCCTGTCCTAGGGCAGCAGAAAACAAGCTTGCTTCCTCCTATGACTTCCTCTCACATATTTATACATGGCTATCATGTCTCCTCTCTGCCTTCTCTTATTCAGGAACATGGTCATACAGCCCGGAAAACTCACAGCAACTCGGCGATTCCAGTCATGAAAGCCTCCGACAACAGATTTTGCCAATTGTTTTAACCTAACTGCGCAGCCCAGAGCATCACCTGTTAAAATCCCCAATTTTCTCCTCTTATTTCAGCTCATTCAGTATTGGCATGTTCTATCGCAATATGAGCAACCAGCCACCTCATGAAGTAGCCCTGCCTGGTTGCTCGACACCTTGTCCACTCCCACGCTTCATTCAACTCACCCGTGCAGTCATCCCACGTGACTGGGAAACAGAATGCCAAAACCCTCAGAAAAGCACAGGTAACAAAAAAACCCCACGCACCCCAGGAAACATTTTTGAGTGAGCCCAAATTTACATCTGTCCTTAACACTTGTTTTGTAGGACGCACAGTAACAGCCCTGGCTGTGGCAGTAGCTTTGCTGAGCCTCATGCTAATTGGAGTAGGTGTTCTGTACTGCAGAAGTTAATGGGAAGACGTGCTTGTGACAACAATCAAAATTCTCCTCATCTAAATAAAGACATCACTACTGTCATTGTGCTTCTATGGAGTCAATTACAACAAAGGCATTTTTATGTAGGCCTTATGCCTGGGAACGGTTTTAAACAGTGGATTTTAATGTCGAGATAAATGATTTTAATGTTTATGTATGTGTATAGTCTGTTTATGTCATGGCATTGAATGTTTGCAGTTTATATGTTGTGCTCTGCCCTGAGTCCCCTTCAGGGTGAGAAGGGCAAAATATAAATGCTTTAAATAAATAAATACACTTATAAAAGACACCTATCTGGACAGTTTTACCAAAACTGTCAGGTGTGAATATCAGGGCACGGATCACAAACACCAAAAGGCAAAAATATGAAAGCTGTAGTATACTCACAAGTGACGAGACTACCAGTAATGTAACCATTGAGATCTGCCAAGGCTAGCTATGGTTCAGCCTGAAAGCACCGAATCACATTTCCCCCGACTGGTGCAGAAAAGCTGTTCTTATTTAAGAATTATTTTCTTTCCATTTTTGTAGTAATTTTCTAAGCCCTTTCCTGTAAACATGGTTTCATTTGAAGGATTCCACAACAAAGTTTTAAAAAACGAGAGTGGCTTAGTATCTTCGGTCTTCATTGTTGTATGGCTTTGTTTCCAACTTATGGTAATCCTATTGTAAGGTTTTCTGAGACAAAAACATATATTTTGCCCAAAGTCACCCAGGGGGTTTCATGAGCAAATGGGGGTTTTCAAACTGTTCTTCAGAGCTGTAGTTTGTATTATAGATACACTTGGAATTCTGTTCTCTTAGATATAAGTCTCTTTTCTGATTCTACAACTTTATGGCTATTGTATCTTGCATTGATACTCCTACAGGCTAGCAACTCTGGTCTCCATCTGATTCCATGTCATACAGATGTATATACTTTAAACATTTAAGCAGAATTATGCAAGACAAAGAGTTTGTTGTTTCTTCTGTAACTCTTTATTGAAGTTAATAAATATTGCTCAGAATGTAATTGCTCTTGTGCAAAAGACTTCCAATCTAAGCTGGTTTCTCCCCAACCAATGAAAATGCTGTTCAATTCAGTCTGAGGCAAATAAGCTTTTTAAACAAACACACATCCCTCCTTGATACACATAATGAAGTCTACAAATACAGGGGAAGAAAAATGAAGTTTGTACCAATAACAATGTAAAACAACACAGAAACAGGCTTCAATGGGCTTGTGGTGATCTAGGAAACCCTTTCAAAGCCGTACTTCCTCCTCCGGTATGACTCCATCCAAATATTCATCTTTGCTGCTTTCATGGAGCTGCAGTCAGACAGCTTGGCCAAGGCTAAATAGGAAGAAACATGCATCAAGCACTAGCATCACAGCTAGGATAATAGACTACATATCCATACCTCCAGAGACTAGCATAGCTTCAGAATTCAGTGTATTACAGGCTGCTCACCAACTTGGTGAGCCCCCAGTGGGTTAAACCCGTGCCGGCAGGACTGAAGACCGACAGGTCGCAGGTTCGAATCCAGGGAGAGGTGGATGAGCTCCCTCTATCAGCTCTAGCTCCTCATGCGAGGACATGAGAGAAGCCTCCCACAAGGATAAAAACATGAAATCATACGGGCGTCCCCCGGGCAACGTCTTTGCAGACGGGCAAATTCTCTCATACCAGAAGCATCTTGCAGTTTCTCAAGTCGCTTCTGACATGATTAAAAAAAACCAAAAACCAACTTGGTACTGTCCACATGCAATCTAACACACTGGAAATACATTACATCTGAGGGGACAGATTTGAGCCCACTGTGTTAGATGAACATAATGAAGTAGGCACTATCTCAGTAACAGCTTATGAAATAATGTGGTTTGAGCTGTAGATGTTCCTTGTTAGCCTCTCTAGAAATTTTCTAGGCCCTCAAGGGTGACTCTATGGTAACTTAGGCCCCTTCTATACTATCCTTATATCACAAGACTTGATCTTGGATTATCTGCTTATGCCAGTTTATATGGAAGTGGAGACTCATATAATCCTGTTCAAAGCAGATAACCTGGAATCAGATGTTGAGGTATAGAAGGGGCTTTACAGACAAAGAATATCAGAAAATTGCTTGAAAGACCAAGCCAGTTCCTACTGCCCCTCAGACGTGGTTAAATGAAATTAAAGATATGGCTCCATGTGTCTAGAGATCTCATTATATATGCATTTAGCCAGAACCCCTCAGTCTCCTAGAGTGTCAAGTCTCCAGAAGGCACCAAAATCGTCACAGTGATCGGAGCCCAGTGCTGACATCATTGGGGTTGCTCCCCTTTTACATTCCCTGCTTGCTGTCCCAGCCTCTGACATTTTCTTCCAACACCCCACTTTGAAGCTACCTCCTATTTAGAAAAAAAACTAAAAAGTTATACTCACTTTATTCAGAAGGTGGATGCCCTACTTGGCCGTCATATTCAGCTTTAAGGACCAATCATCCTGGGAACAGAACCTTATACCTTAAAGCCGGAGTCACCTATCAGAAGGATAGTTAGAAATCAACATGTGCACCTAGTGACTATAGTTCTGTACTTCTCAGACATTTTATTTGGCAGAGAGCAATCTCCTCATCCCTTTGCATTGGGAATCAATACCATATTTGTGCCATTGACTAAAATTACTTCATTCCTGGAACTTTGGCATGGACTGGCAGCCATTGGCCCATGATGCACCACGACCCACTATTTTGAAGTAGTGGTTATTGGCTTGTAATGGTGGATGAGGAAGCCTGACAAAAGTAACTAGGACATATACAGTTCCAGAACTACCATTTAGGACCAATCCTGATCCAACAGGGATTTCGCTCCTCAGTCCCCATGATGTCAAAGGCATGGTGGCACTTTTATCACCACAGCAATTGTCTGTGCCCAGTGCTTACATCACAGGAGGAACCCTGTTGCAAAGCAGTATTTCCAGCTCCCTCACAAGTCCTGTTTCTAACAGTTGAGTGATGCAGTTCAGCATTGTTCTACTCGGATTATTGCTTCTCTCCAACATTAAGTCACAATTTCTATACACGCCAGGGACTCCCTGAACTGCAGGACTCACACATCATAGTCTGCTTGGATCTGTTAGCTCTTCCTGTGATCCTGCATGCATTGCATGCACAGCCTAGAAAATGTTAAACACATTAACTCCATGTCTCTAAAAGAATATCAGACACACTGTTTTGCTCAGCATGGACAAAGTTTTCAGAATCTTATCTAAATACGATTCTAAATAAAATGCCATCAGAAGCACTTTATTTTCTTGTTGTGCAATTAAACCCTACCTCATCCCCCTGATATTTTACATTGCCCTATCCCCCAGTGTTTTAAAATTTTTAATCCTCAAATTTGGCCCTGCCCATGGTGATCATTTTTAATGTCGTAATGTTTTGATTTTATATTGTTGTGTCGCTTATATACATTGGTTTTGTATTAGGTTGTTTATTTATTTATTATTTTCTGTTGTGTTCTTGCGTTATATTGTGTATATTGTATTGATGGGCTTGGCCTCATGTAAGCCGCCCTGAGTCCCCTTGGGGAGATGGTGGTGGGGTATAAATAGTTTTTTTATTATTACTATTATTATTATACATCACCCGGGCTGTTGCGCAGCTAGTTAGTAGCTATCTGCATTAAATCACTACTAACCGAGAGGTCATGAGTCCGAAGCCAGCCCGGTTCAGAGTAAGATCCTGACCATTAATAATCTAGCTTGCTGTCGACCTATGCAGTCTGAAAGATGCCATAAAACTTTCTAGCAGTTTGCGTAAGAATGAGGAAGTACTCAAAGGACGCAGTGTCACAAATGGAGGGTGAAGCAGCAGCTCCCCCTGTGGCCGGAACCAAGCATAACCTCATGAAGCCGGAAAAGCTGGAATGTTAAATTGCCTCTGTGTTTGCTTATATATGTTGTATGTCTAAATGACATTGAATGTTTGCCGTGTATATGTACATTGTAATCTGCCCTGAGTCCCCTGTGGGGTGAGAAGGGCAAAATATAAATACTGCAAATAAATAAATTTGAGAAACCTCAGTTTCTTTTCAAAACAATGCCAACTGGGCTCAGCACCACTCACCCAGTATAACACGGTGAAAGGCCTACTGGAGGCCTGGGGTGGATGCTCCATTTTGATAGGGAAGTAGAAAGCATACTTATGCACCTGTAGGAAAGAAAAGAATGATTAGTAAAATGCAGAACTGGATCATGAGCTTCTACAGCAAAGTATCACCCCTTTCCTATCCTCACTACTTCTGAGGATGCTTGCCATAGATGCAGGCGAAACATCAGGAGAGAATGCCTCTAAAACATGGCCATACAGCTCAAAAAAAAACCTACAACAATCCAGTAATTCCGGCCATGAGAGCCTTCGACAATATGCTGCAAATGTAGCAAGTTTAATAAACAAACTGAACAAACTAACCACTATATTTGCATGATACTTTCTTCCTATTTCATCCTAAAGTCCCTTTTGGTCTTACAACAATATAGCATGTAATAGGCTACGTTTGGGTGATTAATCATACAATTATAGAGTTGGAAGAGACCTCATGGGCCATCCAGTCCAACCCCCCGCGAAGAAGCAGGAAAATCGCATTCAAAGCAACCCTGGCAGATGGCCATCCAACCTCTGTTTAAAAGCCTCCAAAGAAGGAGCTTCCACCACACTCCAGGGCAGAGAGTTCCACTGTTGAACAGCTCTCACAGTCAGGGAGTTCTTCCTAATGTTCAGGTGTTTGAAGCCATTGTTCTGCATCCTAGTCTCCATGGCAGCAGAAAACAAGCTTGATCCCTCCTTCCTATGACTTCCTCTCACATATTTATACATGGCTATCATATGTCTCCTCTCAGCCTTCTCTTTTGAAGGCTAAACATGCCCAGCTCTTTAAGCCACTCCTCATAGGGCTTGTTCTCCAGACCCTGGAGAGTTCAGCTGTTCCACTGCTGAACAGCTCTCACAGTCAGGGAGTTTTTCCTAATGTTCAGGTGTTTGAAGCCATTGTTCTGCGTTTTAATCTCCAGGGCAGCAGAAAACAAGCTTGCTCCCTCCTCCTTATGACTTCCTCTCACATATTTATACATGGCTATCATCTCTCCTCTCAGCCTTCTCTTTTGAGGGCTAAACTTGCCCAGCTCTTTAAGCCACTACTCATAGGGCTTGTTCTCCAGACCCTGTAAAGTTAACATAGTTTGACCCCGCTTTTAACTGCTGCTAAAATAATTCAAAGAGGGAGAAAAACATCTCGAAGCCTTCTTAGCAGGCCTCACCACCTTAAATCCTGAAGCGCAACTTACCCTGAACGCGCCGCCATTTCAAACAGAGCATCCGCAGCCGCACGTGGCCCTTTTAAGCCTTTTTAAGCCACGCCCCCTTCCTCTTCCGGGTAGAACGCCCATTCCCGTCTATTTACGCACGTACCGCGCTTGCGCAACCATCGAGATTCTGTCGCATAGGCTCCACCCATCTGCAGCGCAAAGCGCGCATGCGCAAAGGTGGGGAGGCGCTCTTGTGTATATAACCAACCTTGCAATGTTTCAGGATAGGACTGCATTTGAGGTTGGGACGTGTTCGCGCATGCGCAGATGGTATAAAGCCTAGCTTTGTATGGATAGTGCTGCAGTCTGAAGGGGAGTGTTGTGTCTAACTTAGGCGTGGCCAAACTTGGGCCCTCCAGGTGTTTTGGACTCCAACTTCCACAATTCCTAACAGCCTCAGGCACCTTCCTTTTCCCCCTCATCCGCTTAAGCGGCTGAGGGGGAAAAGGAAAGGGCCTGAGGCTGTTAGGAATTGTGGAAGTTGGAGTCCAAAACACCTGGAGGGCCCAAGTTTGCTCATACCTGGCCTAGAATCATTAGAAAAATGTTCCTACCAGATGCCCATGAGGACAATTAAGGATTTATTCAGGTTTAAGAATTCCACCTACGTCTACATTGTAGAATTAATGCAGTTTGACACCACTTTCACTGCCCTATGCCATGGAGTTTTGGGATTTGTAGTTTGGTGAGATACCAGCAGTCCAGAGGAAGTCTAAAGACTTTGTGAAGCTACAACTCCCAAGATTATGAAAAGTCAAAGTGGTGCCAAACTGTGTCAATTCCACAGTGTAGATGCAGTCTAGGAGCCCCCGGTGGCACAGTGGGTTAAACTGCTGAGCATGTTGACTAAAAGGTTGCAGGTTCGAATCCGGGGAGTGGCGTGAGCTTCCGCTGTCAGCCCCAGCTTCTGCCAACTTAGCAGTTCGAAAACATGCAAATGTGAGTAGATCAATAGGTACTGCTCCAGCGGGAAGGTAACGGCACTCCATGCAGTCATGCAAGCCACATGACCTTGGAGGTGTCTACGGACAATGCTGGCTCTTTGGCTTAGAAATGGAGATGAGCACCACACCCCAGAGTCGGACATGAGTGGACATAGGTACCGCTCCAGTGGGAAGGTAACAGCGCTCCATGCAGTCATGCCAGCCACATGACCTTGGAGGTGTCTATGGACAACGCTGGCTCTTCGGCTTAGAAATGGAGATGAGCACCACATCCCAGAGTCAGACATGAGTGGACATAGGTACCGCTCCAGTGGGAAGGTTACAGCGCTCCATGCAGTCATGCCAGCCACATGACCTTGGAGGTGTCTATGGATAATGCCGGTTCTTTGGCTTAGAAATGGAGATGAGCACTACACCCCAGAGTCGGGCACGACTGGACATAGGTACCGCTCCAGCGGGAAGGTGACAGCGCTCCATGCAGTCATGCTGGCCGCATGACCTTGGAGGTGTCTACGGACAATGCTGGCTCTTCAGCTTACAAATCGAGATGAGCACCACACCCCAGAGTCGGACACGACTGGACTTCATGTCAGGGGAAAACCTTTACCTATACCTAGATGCAGTCTGAGTAAGGCATTATTCTCATATCCAGATCGTTACATGTTTCTAGCCTCAGATGCAAAAAATATCAGGAAATATAGCCCAAAGAACTTACAACAATCCAGCTACAATTCACTTTCTTCTGGCTGTATCATATCCTGCACAATTCTCTAGTAAGGCAGCAGATAATTATCATCCTATAATTTGTTATCTAGTGTGAGTTAGAGTACAATCAGGCCATTTTAACTAGAAATGTAAAACTGAGAAACAATTGTGTTCCAGGCTCATCTATTTTTTTGTCAGAGGGGAAATTTAAACCCAGATGAAACTCAATGATCTCATTCTTCTGCCAATTTTTCTCTTTTTTCCTTGATTGCACTGTAAGGCTGTCTTGTTCTTCTCTAATGAATTAAATCAGGTCATGATTTCTGTTTCCATATTTGTGGTTTTGGCACAAAAAGCCCTTTTGTGATGGAAATGTCAGCAGTTTTGCACCAGAAATAAATCATCCAGCAAGCCAAGCCTAGATCCAGGGGCAGAACTGGGGGAAGTCTCAAACGAGACTACAATTTCCCAAAGTGAACAACATGTTGGCTGTAGGAGTCTGGGAATTATAGTCCAGAAATAACTATCTCCATATATTTTGATTTAATATGTTTTCAACGTCATTGGCTAGCTGATCGTTTCAATAGTCTTTTAGGTATACCCTAAAGTTGGGTTATTTTTCTCTTTAAAAAGAGACTTAAACTTTGGGTTGCTTTGAGTTTTCTGGGCTGAATGGCCATGTTCCAGAAGCATTCTCTCCTGATGTTTCGCCCACATCTATGGCAGGCATCCTTAGAGGTTGTGAAGTCTGTTGGAAACTAGGCAAGTGGAGGTTATATATCTGGAATGTCCAGGGTGGGAGAAAGAATTCTTGTCTGTTTGAGGCAGGTGTGAATGTTGTAATTGGCCACCTTGAATCCCTTAGCTTCACTGATTGTGTGCGATCCTCCAGGAAAGATTGGAGCCACTGCAAAGCAGTGCCTCCAAGACCCATTCTGGAAAGCTGTCCCAGAAGGATACCAAGATAGATGGTAATGAAAGCCACTGAGATGTCCAAGAGAACTAACAAGGACGCACTCTCTGCGAGGTCATCCACCAAGGTGATCAAAGCCATCTCCGTACCGTGATAAGGTCTAAAGCCAGACTGTATTTGAGTTAAGATCTCAGTCACAGAACAGATTAAACTCTTAACTCAATGTATCACTGTACTAGATAGCACTGAGTCCAATGTGAAAAGGGGAAAATAAACCCAAAAGCAGCAGCAGAATAAGGATCAAACGGAATGTGGCTACAATGCTGATGTACTGGATGCAAAACATCCAAAAATGAGCAGGTTATGTGTGTGTATATGTTTGAAAGCAGTTTGCTACTGAATATCATTTTCTAGGAGCTACCGAGTCCCTAAAAACTTCATAATCTGGTTTTCCCATCAGTTGGCCACTGTGAAAAGCAGAATGAAAGTGACCTTTGGGTCGAACCAGCAAGGTTTTCATTATGTGACTGCATGATTTGCTATTTTGATTAAATAGTTATTACGACGTTTTTAATCAGTGCTTCATTGTGTCACAATCAGCACTTCCGTTTACGTGCAGCCTGGACTCCTTATGGTAAAATTAGATGTAATGATGACGCTGCCGCATCTGATTGCCATTTCTTCTTCTGGGGAAGAAGCAGGACCAGGTTAAGATGTGTTGAGGTCTCATAAGATTATCCCCTCCCGTGTATTATTCTAACATAATGGGAGGGTTAGGTTTAATTTTATTTATTTATTAAGTATTAGTCATGATAGTCTGGGACTTTAAAATGTCACTTTCTCAGCTTGTGCATAAATCTGGCACTAGAAGACAAAGCCATCACAAAGCAAGCAATACCCCTCGGTTCTCATTTTTACGAATGTCTGGCGAGGGACTTGACTCTTATGAATCTTAATTTTTCAGTGGATAACTGTTTTATGATTGCTGCCAGGCGAATCTGCACAGCAACTAGCAACTTCTTATTTGGCTATACCAGGTTCCTCACTGGAAGCAAAAATAAAGCCAAATCTCTTGGATTCATTTAAATCCCCAAGAGTGTTTTGAAATGACAATAAAAGTTAAGCAAATACACAGTAGTTAGCTAGTAAATGCTGAAGTGGAGGCACTCATTATGCTAATCCCATAGTCACTGTGAGAAGGAGAGTCCAGAAATTTTGGCAAGTGTGTTTGAACAATAGAATCACAGAGTTGGAAGAGACCCCAAGGGCCATCCAGTCAAACCTCCTGCCAACAGGAAGACACAATTAAAATGCTCTTGACAAATGGCCACCCAGCGTCTATTTAAAAAGCTGCAAAGGAAATTCCAGCACACTCAGAGGCAACATATTTTAATTTCAAGTGCCTGGGGGCCGGGCTTAGCACAGCAGGCTAAACCACTGTGCTGCAAAAAAATTCTGCTGATCCAAAGGTCAGCAGTTTGAGCCCGGGTTGGGGTGAGCACTCGCCATTAGCCCCAGTTCACCTGCCCACCTAGCAGGTCGAAAGCAGAAATGCGAGTAGGTAAAATAGATACCGCTTTGAGCGGGGAGGAAATAAAGTTGCCTTTAAATATATCAATTGGAGGAAAGCTCCTCTGCATGGAAGATGGAGCAACAGCACGCACACACCGGTGGCCAAAGTTGAGCACAGCCTCCAAGATGCCGTAAATAAGATGGGAAAAATGGCCTTTACCTCTGTTTGTGTTGTCTGTCCTTGTTAATTGTATAATTGGCATTAAATGTTTGCCATGTGTGTATGTTCTGGAAGCCGCTCTGAGTCCCTATCTAGGTGAGAAGGGCGGGGTATAAATACTGTAAATAAATAAATAAAATATCATCAGGATGTTTTGCCTACTATTGGAATCTCTTTTCCTTTAGTTCAAATCCATTGCTCCATGTCCTAGTCTCTAAAGCAGCAGAAAACAAGCTTGCTCCAACTTCAGTATGACATGCTTTTAGGTATTTAAAGATGGCGATCATGACCCCTTTTAACCTTCTCTTCAAGCTAAACATATCAAGATCCCTAAGCTGCTCCTCACAGATCTTGGCTTCCAGACCTTTGACCATTTTGGTCACTCTTCTTTGGACATCTCCCAGTGGGTCAATATCTTTCCTGAATTGTGGTGCCCAGAACTGGACACAGTGTTCCAGGTGAGATATGTCCAAAGCAGAACAGATTGCTGCTATTAACTTCCTGCAATCTACTACATTCCTATTGATGCAGCCTAGAATCACATTGGCTTTTAAAACCATTACATCCTTCTGTTAACTGATCTTCACTTTGTGGTCTACTAAAACTCCTAAATCCTATTGACAGTTACAATGCAGTTCTAGTTGCAGGTCTTTTCTAAAGCTAATGGGTGTTGCTTGTGTTGGAGCATGTAAACATCAGTTGTAAGTGTGTTGACTGAAAAATGCAAAGTATGAAGCTGATTGGTTGGGCCATGCCCAACAGCTAGCTGAGCCTG